CCATCTCGTTGTTAAACGGCTCGCCTGATATATGACACAGCTTGGGAGGGGTTCATGATCGGGAGACTTAGAGTCTCTGCTTACGAACTTGGGGCACATAGGGGCGGTCCGTACTTCCGTTTTTCTCAGCGAACTGGTCTCATTGAATACGCCCGTATAGCCCGCCTTCTGTGGCCCGACTACGTATCTGAAGTGGATGCTGTCATTTATGTTGTGGATGGCGTCTAAGGCTCCAACCTTTTAGTTTTCGTTTACGGATTCCCGTAAACTAAACGAAAACGGTTCGTAAACGTTTACAAACGGTTATAATCGTTTGTAAACGGTATATTTTCTGCCAACTTTTTTGACTAGGACTCTACAATTTTAACAACCCCGCCTTTATCCACATCTTGGTAAGCATCGCACGCACTATCGTGTCGGCATGCAGAGACGATCGATTTTCATGACACAAGTGCCGTGATCCCGAGAAGAGTCGCTCCACAGAGACACTGGTCCCTGGAATGGCAAAGAAGTCTCGGGCCATCAACGCGATGACGGGGAAATCATGTTCATGCTCCTGCCCATTGTAACTTGAGTAAGTCAAAGGAACAAAATTGGAGTTGATGGGGCTTATCTTCCACCACATCAACGGACCGTGAGTTTCGCCGCGGCCATACGTGCGGTGATATAAAACCGTTCATATTCCGGTTGCTGTGGGATTGCATTATCTTCACCGTCGTCAAGCATACATACATCATCCAGAAAACGGCTAGTACTTCGTGCTGGCTTGGGTCGGCTGTTCTGACTGCTTCGGTGCTTTTCATCGTAGGTTTTCTTGTAAGCCTCGAAAGCAAATTCGAACAGGGTGCGGGCATTAGCGGCCCGTTCTGAGCTCACTTTGTGGAACTACCGCATGCCGAGGGAAGGATGCGGCACTAAATTTGCGTGGCAAGCTTTTTATGCCCATTTGTTGCAGCGATTGTAAGTCACCGCGGACGCCAGGCCAGCGCTGCGACACAAAAAAAAAAAGTACCGTTTAAAACCGTTTACAAACGGTTTGTTTACCGTTTACAAGGGTCCGTAAACTAAACGGTAAATATAAACGGTTAAACCGTTTACAAACGTTTGTAAACGGAAACGGTTGGAGCCTTAATGTCATTGGCGTCGATGCTGCACGGTTCCCTGAATGCAAAGCCGAGCTCGACGATATGTTAGCGTTTGAGGCGTCCTCGAAAGTTCCGGTACTCATCCTTGGGACCAAGATTGACGTGCCTGGGGCGGTAAGCAAGGAGGAGCTCGCAGGGCATCTTGGACTGGACCAGGGAACAGGGAAGGTGAGTTCTGTGCTTGGGGTTGTATTGCATAGGTGTAATCCTCACGCTGCGCCAGGGCGAACATCCTCTCCATTGCATTCGTGCAATAGAAATCTTCATGTGCTCCGTCGCACATCGGCAGGGGTATGAAGAAGGTCCAGTAATTCCGGTTTATATTACATTTCGGTGCTGACGTAGCTCCAGGGCTCCGATGGCCCGGGTTGTCGCAATCTGTAAGTCAATTCGTCGCCCACATGTTTCCTTGCCTCATTCCCGCGTAGATTTGACTCATTGAGGGAGAAAAGATATATGTCCTACGCCGACGCGCCCATATTGAGCCTCGATTTAATCAAATTCCCCAACAAATGATAGAACCACGCGCGCATGTAAAATCCCTTACGCCATGGCGAGACTCTCAGCCGCAATACTGCTGCGGGAGAGCGTCAACTCCATCTCTCGCGCACCTCTAACTGAGGAAATTGACAAGTAAAGAATGACCCCATAGCTACTTTCAGTATCTCCCGAGACTTTGCGACAGTGCGTCCGAATCTGCGTGTTGGACCCAACCTCACGACGCGGATGGTCATGTGTATATTTCCTTCTTCCCGCCGTGGCGTCCTTCCCCTAACCAGAACAGCCCACCCGTCGACTCTTTCCCGCACGAATCTCAGTGACACCAGCTGTTGCGTTCCCACTCCCAGCCACCCGACGATCCCCGACCAACTCCGTGTCCTCGCCCTGCCAGTGCGTCATGTCCTCATCACGTAGTAAGCAGACCTTCTTGAATGCCTCTCTGCTCTCGCGGCGTTGGAACGGCTGTCCATTGCAGATCAGAAGCGCGACCTCCCTGGAGACGTGCTGATCGCTGACATGGGTTCACTCTCACTCCTCTTTCTCCGGCTCCTGCCCTAAGATTACGCTTCCTTATCTGCTATTCAACTCTCCAAGATTCGACGACAAAGTCTACTTGAATTTGTGGTCTCGCGAGCGTCAACTTCACATCACTTCAGATTGCGCTCGTCGACCAGCGCGTGTCTCCTCCTTCCCTCCTATTGGCATCCTACCCCCTCTGCCCACCGCCCACCCTCTCCCATGCTCCCGCGCCCTGCGAATCGATCCAGTTTCGCAGGGACATCGACATCGACACCTCGCGAATTGACGCGCTCTCCTCCTCCTTCCACGCGGCCCAATCCTGACGCCTCCGTTGGAAGATGCCGCCGCACACATTCTCCCCCGCAAGGAATCCCACCGCGTGGAGAGCACTGCATGTATCTGCCGTCCGTCCGTTTGGGTATCATGTCCGTGCTCGTCCTTTTGGGAGGTGGGATCCTTCGTGGCCGGCTCGCCCCTCTTCGCTGCGAGGAGGCGTCAGCGCCGATACGCAGAAGGGAAGGGCGGGAGACAGCGTACCTCAACGCGCGCAGATTCATCCCCTCCACCCTCCACCCGCAGCTGAACTCTCCCTTCACTCTCACTCTCGCTTGAAGCAGACGCGGCCCCACCGTTGACGCAGACGCGGGCCAGCCCTCCCTTCTGGCTCTCTCCGCTTCGAAAGAACGGCGTCAGCGCCGATGCTGCGAACAGACAGCGTCAGCGCTGATACGTAAAAGCGAGGGAGGGAGACAGCGTACCTCAGCGTGCTTGAATTCATCCCCTCCACCCTCCACCCGCTGCGGGCCTCTCCCTTCACTCTCACTCGCGCTTGACGCTAACGCGGCCCCGCCCTTGACCCGCCCTTCCCTTCCGACGCCTTCGCTGCGAGGAGGCGTCAGTGCAGATGCGCAGAAGCGAAGAGAGGGAGACAGCGTACCTCGACCGGGCGCGCATCTAGCTCCAGCCCCTCCACCCGCTGCGAAACCCCTTCACTCTCCCTCGATGCGGACGCCGCCCAACCCTTCCCCTCTGGTTCCTTCGCTGCGAGGAGGCGTCAGCGCCGATCCGCAGAAGCGAGGGGAGGGAGCCAGCGTTACGATCTGTAGGGAAATCAGACGGAAGCTGACCAGCGCACAGGGCAGGGGTCGTCCCGCGGAGCTGCGCAGAAACGATGCGCCTCGACAGGTGCAGGTCCGGGGCCCGCGTATCTGGTGGAGGATAGACAAGATGGCGCGCACACATGAATTTGATGTGAGGCACATTTCTGCTCAAGTGAGGCCCATTTTCCGGCAGAAACAACACGATTCGTGACATTCAAAGTGTTAAATCAATGTACTAAAGTAATTGTAATGTGTTGTCTACGTCGGGGAAAAGAGGATACAAATGAGCTCACGTACATAGCTTTTAATATGGTGGTCGACAGTGCAAAGTACGCCTGTCTGAATGGAGGTTGACGACGAATGCCGAGGTGACATCTACTGCCGCGGTGACGCGAAGCCCGCCGACAAGGACCTACGACCTCGTCCCTGGATCCAAATTTCATCGGCGGCGCGCAGCCCTGTTTGGTCTTCCGATTCGGATATACATATCTATTTATTGTTGTGGGCAGCTGCGGGAATCGAATTAAAGCGTACCGATAAAATGCGCGGCTGGAATACTGGAGGAAGGAGACACGGAGGGAGTGCACTCAAGTATGTAGGCAGAGGACTGAGTCTGGTAACATTAATATACAGAGCCGGAAAGCATGTGTGTGTGATGCACAAAGTTCCGGAAATCCATCAGGTTGCGTCCGTCGGACAGGATGTCCGGCAGTTCTCCGGTCGGCGGGTGAGCAGGCGGCGGCATTGGAGGATATTGGGCCCGGAGGGGCGCATCGGGCGCGCCGCGGGGGGTACAATGGTTGAGGTAAGAGGAAGAGAGGTTTTTTACCTGTTCCGTACCGGTGATCCGACGCTTAGATCAAGTGAGGCACCTTGACGAAATAGGAATGTGCCTCACTTGCATAAATGTGCCTCACACCATCGAATATGCCTCACATCAACCCAACTGTGCCTCACATCAAATTCTTGTGTGCACTCCATCTTGTATATCCTCTATCTGGTGCGAGCAGACCTCTAGAGAGAGGTATTAGCTTAGATCACAAAAACGGTGGCGGCACGCACATATTTAGGACGAAGGGCAGGGGTGGTAGACAAATTGAGGCTAGAGCGTTGTCTTGCGATGGGCAGTACACGGGTACCGATGCCGAGGAGCGTAGGACTGACCACGGGAGGAGGAGGAAGGATTAACGCGATGCGGGGACGGCGGGATTGCAAGCACGCACCACCGTTGGTTACCCAGTGTGCGTCGCAGGGACTCGATTCGCGGGCAACTTCTCCGCGATGCGGTCAGGAAACTGTGGGCGTTGAGCGCCGACTGGTACTCGGTTCCGGGCTGTTAGACATCTGTATCTGGTGCTGCTGGACCGAGGCTCTTTGCGGGACAACCGTGATAGATCAAGCGACGAGACATGGAGCTATGGGACGACCGTCGATGTTGTGAAAACGATGAGCGTCGTGGAATTGCCATGGAATACGGGAGGCAGCGTACGGCAGAGTGGAGTTCGAATCGCGATCACGTGAAGTAGACGAAAAGAGTTCCTCCAACAAAAATATCTTTTCTCACTGAGTTACTCGCTACCTGCGGGGCTTCATAGAGCCGCCCACAATTTCGTGTGATGCAACAGAAAGTGAATGGCAACCGCGCATCAGCGACGCCTCACAGCCAAAAAAGAAAATGCAGGCTGCAGCCGGCGTCCGAGCATGTCAAGGGTGGATGACATCCGGTATTCAAAGGTGACCCTGCCCGGATTGAACGGACGGCCTGCGACGCAGCGGATGGACTGGAATGCGACGCTCTACCACTGAGCTAAGGGGTCGACCAATCCCTGCTTAATCCCTACCTCTCAAAAAAATACTTGTTTACCATTTACTTTTCCGTTTATTGACTGTTTACTGGGGTCCGTAAACTAAACGGTAAACTAAACGGTAAACTAAACGGTAGAAACCGTTTAAAAGCGGTCAAAAACGGAAAAGGTTGGAGCCTTATACAGTAGTTTCAACTTTCGAGGGTTTCGAACCGCACCTGTATACTGTTAGACCCAACGGGTCAGAAAGTGCACAATGGGACAGAAAGTCGAGTTTCTCCATTTCCCCTCTTCTTTTATGCCCCCAGAATTTTCCGGGATCGATTCATGTACTACTAGTGCGTATATCAACCAAATATCTAAGGGATACGTGGAGGGCAAGCAACTGAGAAACAGTTGCCGGTCCATCAAACCCAGGGCCATAGGTGTAAGTGCCGGTCTGGTGTGCGTGCTGGTCCCAGAATCCCACAAAAGTTCAGGGGGTCTAATGGGGGATAAAAAACGATTTTGGCTTCCTAGGAATTTCTTGCCGGGACGTGGTCGCAGCGTTCTGGGGGAGGCGTCGAGCGTGACAGATTCAAGCTCCGCTCCGAAACGCGTTGATCCGATTCAAATAAACAACAACGCGTCGTTGACAGGTTCAACCGTGGATCGAGGGATGGGAAGAGGAATGGGCTCTAAAGCCTCTAATCGGTGAGGTCCAGGGCTCGTACCCCATTCGCTGGCGTTTCCGGTGGCGCGCCAAGGCTTCTGCGGCGCGTTCCTCCTCCGAGCCCAAGGGGGTTTCGGCATTAAAATTTCGGATGCAGGGGGGGTCCCGAGGGCGGCTGAAAAAAACTTCTGTCATGCAGTACGAGGGAGGTTCAAAATGCCTCCCAGAGCATAATAGGATGACATGTCCGGTAGGAGAGTAAAATCTGGGACCTAGAAGACGTGCATGCTGTTGCGCTACCTCTTTGTCCCGATTTGGACTACCGATGTCCCTCACGTGCACAGATCAGTTCTCGGAAACACTTGCGTGCTGGCTCTAAGGGTGAAGGAATAGATTCACTGGTGTTAATAATACATATGGGAAATTACAACTACTGCACACACTATCAGTGTAATTTTTGGGATAATGCAGACAATGCTAGACATGCCTTCACGGCCGGGAAACACTGCCAGTTCATGCCCTCAGTTCTTGCTCAGTTCAGCATTGAATTGCTCAAAGAGAGCCCAACCATTGTGAGTTGAGTATGGAATAGAAAACAGTACAGTAGAGTGTCAGACAGGTGACACCAGGGGCAAAGACCGACGCACCTGGCTGCCAAGTGCGTTGAACGCATGTGCTCCGCAGGTTGTGATGCCGCTTACAATGAGTCTTTGTGTTGCAACTAACAAAGTAGCAATTAAAGACTACCTAGATACAAAGAATATATTAAGTTATTTTGAAATGTTTAGTGTGTTTCTTCACCCTCCAGAACTTATTTATTTGCCATACCTAAACATTTTGCCATCGCGAGCCACGACTCAGCCGCAGATGCCGTCGCATCTATGCCGAGCAAGGGAATGACGGCACCGTAGACGCCCAAAAGACGAGTGATGTCCTCGTGATAAGCCAGAGTCACACTGGCTGCCGCTCTCCCATTTGTCCCGTCCACTGCCGGCGTCACGCAGCTGCTCGCCCCGTGCCCATCCGACACCTCGCTTGACACCGGTTACCGGGGCCCTGTCGCGCTTTATGAAATATTGCTTCATCAGCACGGCACCATGCCCGCACGTCGTCTTTGTCGGGCTGGCACTGTGCCGGTACGTCATCTTTGTCGGGCTACAACCATGTACGGACATCACCTTTGTCGGGCTACCACCCCACCCGCCCGTCGCCTTTGTCGACCCACTAACACCCCCGAACATCGCCATTGTCGGGCTAAGACAGCGTCCGGACATCGCCTTTATCGGGCGACCACTCCAGCCGCACGTGGCTTTCGTCAGCACGCGACCAAGCCTTTGTCCTCGGGGCGGACCGCCTTTGTCCCGCCTTTGTCTGCCAAAAGAGCCGGCCGGCGGCCCGACCCCGTCCTTCTTTTGACAGTCCCGCCAATCACGAGGAGCCCGCTTAGGGTGTGACACGGGTGGATACCGTGGGAACGCAATCAGCTACCGTACCCGTGACCCGTGACACGGCGGTTTTAACTGTGGGTGAAATTCGAAAAAACAGCATTTTAGCTTGTTTGAATGCAGCTACGGCAGTTTTCTTTTTCGCAGGTTTATCTAAACTGTACACCGTACCCGCACCCGTGACACCCGTACCCGTGACACCGCGGTATTGCGTCACACCGTGTCACACACTAAGCCCGCTTGTGCGCGGGTTATCCTCTGGGGCGGGATTTGCTCGGCGCTCACCGCGAGCGGCGCACGCACAACACTCCGCGGAGTCGTGTGCGTCTCTGCGCCCGCCGCACACGATGATCACATAGCTAGAGACAGTATGTTAGCTCTGAGAGGCGGAGAATTCGACGCACCTTAAGCTCTAGGAGCGTCTGCTTGGGCCGCAATACAAACATGTACAAATAACAGGGTCTTTCCAGATTTTCGGTTTCAGAGCTGGAGATGACTGTCTAATATCCCCTAGTATGCTTTAAAAGGCTTAGTCAGACCCTCTTGTTGAGCTGTGATTTGGCTCGGCAGTTCGAAATAAGCAGGGCCAAACATTGGCCAAACACTTTCAAATAATCAGTAGATCCACGTGCCTCGAACGGACGAACGAAGGATTAGGTAGGGCTAGTCTTGTAGAAGCGGAAAGCGCCTTTCGGTACACTCCATTGACTCCTGGGCGAAAGGACCGCTCGACCAAACCAGCGAGCAAAGAAAAGAACCAGCAAGAATTGCGAAATGACTTGAACAGAATGAGGGCGGATTTCATATTGCGGGTATCAGACGAGGGTCCACGTCCAACGTTCGGTGTTGCGATCCCTATAATTCAAGGCGAAACTGGATCCACATAGCTGGATAGTTCAACATTCGGTGCAGACCCGAAGAATGTTCGGTTGGACGCGGCGCGTAGGAAGCAACGCAGAGAGCCGAATAAGCCGCAAGGCGGGGCAAAATGAGGAACACAGACTCGAATATCAATGAAGGATTCGAGGACGTATCTCACAGAAAACATAGGACCGGATGAGCATGCTGACTTGCCGCAGAAAAACGACGGAGTGCTTCCGACATGACCTTACCTAGATTCGAACCAAAATCTTCCGCTGACTTCATTGGGATCTCCGAACAACGGGAGGGGGCGATTTCTTCGCCATCGGGTCTTTCCTTCGTGGTAATTGACAAAATGTGTTTCCCAAGACCTTATTTTGTACAAAGGTAGGCGGAGTTGAGGTAAAATCCGGCGGAGGAGACGCGAGGAGGGATCCGGTTACTTGGGAGGAGAGAGTCAGAGGAGGCTGTTGTGAAGAGATACGCAGCTCGGAGAACCAGAGGGAGCAGTCAACGAGAAACTTCCAATAAAGAGGTTGCGTATTGAGGAAAAAACAGACACTGTACAGTATGGGCCACGACCCGACCTAGAATCTAACCAGACCCCCCGCGGACACTGCAGCCTATCAATCCATGTGAAGCGGCCGCGATACATTTCGCCATGGGATCTTTCTGGGGGGGCCACGTTGTGAATTGCGAGAGGGGAATCAAATCTTGGCTGCGTTATAGCTTGAACTAGGCCGCTGACGAGCTGCAGTCGGAGTGGACTAACCCAATAATGAATGATTCAAGTCGGCATGGGTCCTCGAGTTGGCAGAGATGCATGAAGACTCGAGAGGGATACGCGGGGACGAGGTGGCAAGCGTGGATCGTGAGGACGTTGATTACTTTCGTGGGACGAGAAACACGCATAGATGCCGGGTCAGCGCCAATGAGCAGGTAAAGAGGGGGAGGGAGACAGCGTACTGTACCTCAACGCGCGCAGATCCATCCACCCGCAGCTGAACTCTCCTTTCACTCTCACTCTCACGCAGACGCGGCCCCACCCTGCCCTTCCGGCGCCTTCGCTGCGAATAGACGGCGTCAGCGCCGATGCTGCGAACAGACGGCTTCAGCGCCGATGCACAGAAGCGAGGGGAGGAAGACAGCGTACCTCGACCGCGCTTGGATCCAGCTCCTTCATCCGCCCTGCGTGCCTTCACGCTCACTCGACGCAGACGCAGACGCAGATGCAGACGCAGACGCAGATGCAGACGCAGACACAGACGCAGACGCAGACGCAGACGCAGACGCAGACGAAGACGCAGACGCAGACGCAGACGCAGACGGCCCGCCCTTGACGCGGACGTGGACGCCGCCTCTCTCTGCCTCGGCTCTCTTCACTGCGAACGGACGGTGTCAGCGCCGCCCAACCATTCCCTTCCGGCTCCACTCCCTGCAATGGATAGCGTCAGCGCCGTTGCGCAGGTAGAAGGCAGGGGAGGGAGGCAGCGTACCTCGACCGCGCGCGTAATTTAGCTCCTTTATCCGTCCCCGCGCGCCTTCACGCTCACTCGACGCGTCGCGGCCCCGCCCTTCCCGCGGACGCGGCCCCTCCCTGCCTCGGCTTCCTCCCTGCCTCGGCTCCCTTCGCTGCGAGGAGGCGTCAGCATCGATGCGCAAAAGCGAGAGGTGAGACATCCCCTCCACCCGCAGCTGAACTCTCCCTTCACTCTCATTCTCACTCGACGCGGACGCGGCCCCGCCCTTCCCCCGGAGGCGGCCCCTCCCTGCCTCGGATCCCTTCGCTTCCCCTTCCCCTCCGCTGCGAACGGACGGCGTCAGCGCCGATGCGCTTCTGAAGGAGAGGGAGGGACTGACCACGACCACAGATCGCCTCCTTCAGCGGCCTGTCTACCTATCCTCCCCTCCCTTCGCTTCCCTCTTCCCATGCGCGCCGCTCTCCTTCCCCTCCCCTTCTCGTCCGGCTCGCCTCGCTGCGAACGGGCGACGTCAGCGCCGATGCGCAGGTAGGAGGGAGGAAGGAGTAGCGTACCCCAACGTGCGCGTCCTACTCCTCAATCCGTCCCTCGCGCCAGCGTCCGCTCTCCCTTCGTCGCACCCCCCTTCCCCTCCCTCTGCACCCCTTCTTCTCTCGTAGCCCCTTCTCCTCTTCGTCGCCCACCCACCCCTCTTGCCGGCAGCGCGAGCCCACGTCGCCCGTATCTCGCTCTGCAGCGCGCGCAGGCAAGGGCCCTCCGCATTCGCACTGCAGCAAAGGCTCCGCGGCGCGGCGCGCGATGTCCATATCCGCGGTCCTGGGGCGGTGCGTGGCAGCAGCTCGTGGGGCGGGGCGGGGCGGGGAGGGCGCACGCGTCACTGGTACTCTGGCGGGGCAGCGGGTGTGCGTGGGAGGGGGAGAGAGAGGGCCGCAGTGCGTAGTCGTCGCTGCTGGACGAGCGGGAGAGGATCGTCAACGTTGTGGCGCCGTGTGTCGTCGTTGTTTCGCGAGTGTGGGTCTAGAAACGACTCGGTGCTTCGAGAATGCGACGCCTCCTTGCGATAGATTCAGACGGGAGCTGAACAGCGCACAGGGCAGGGGACGGACGCACTGCGGAGCTGCGCAGAAACGATGCATGCAGTCCGGGAGCCCGCGTATCTAGTGCGGGAAGCCCTCAAGAACGGCGGCGGCACGCACATGGTTGGCGTACGGAACGAAGGGCATGGGTGGTAGACAAATCGAGGCTGGAGAGGAGGAAGGGGAATATGTGCGCGTCGCAGGGACTCGGAGCTTGAGTACGACTGGTACTCCGCCGGTTCCAGGGTGTTCAATTCGTTTCTGGTGCTGGACCTAGGCTGAGTACCGCATAACGGCGATGGGCTAAGTGACTATGCGACGACCGTCGATGTTGTGAACTTCAATGTGAAGCTCAACGATAGCGTGGACGTAGGTGGAGGAGCGGAGTTCGAATCGCGATCACGTGAACCAAACGCGTCGCCCAACTTGCGCTCAACAAAAGATCTTTTCTTACTCACTAATTGCGTGAATTCATAGCACGGTGACTCAATATAGTGTGAATGTTACAGTAATTGTGCGTCAACGACGCTTCACCGAAAGGAAAAGAAACAAAAACAGCGGAGGCCGCCACCGGCGTCCGAGCACGTCAAGTGTGGATGACATACGGTATTCAAAATGACCCCTGCCCGGATCGAACGGACGGCCTTCGCGAGGCAGCGTATGGACTGGAATGCGACGCTCTACCACTGAGCCAAGGGGTCTTGGTGAGTCAGCTTGTTAACCATCCGCCAACCTTTATTGACATACTCTCTCAACGGTAGCATGGATTGCATTACAACTGCAGACGAGAAGATCCGGTATGTGGAGGATTCCAAGATGAACTTGGGCTTCACAGTCATCGCCATCGCTCATCGTATATGTAAGTTTTGAAACTCGTACCCTTGCCTATAACTACTCTGACCCTCCATATATTCCAGCGACCATCGCCACCTATGACATGGTATCAGAAGCTGAGCCCGACCCAAGCCTGGGCTTGGGCTTGAAGCCCACACGGAAATAAGTAAACGACAGCAACTCTTTGCCATTGTCGATGGGTTGCCGCCAGGGTTTACCTGACCAATCCTTGTACATCCGTGTTCACTCCACTCGCCCTGCAGTTCGATACTTTGGGTAGACTACATGAGCGGTTCAGATCTCGTGGAAAATTCCGCCGGAGCTGAAATTTTCCAGTTTCAGCAAGGCACATATCCCAATGTCAGCATCGAATGTTACCAATCCCAACAATGGCATGCTGGACATGTAATCTTGCTCCAAGAGTCTACGCCAAGTATGTCCTTAAATTCACCAGCGTTGCTTTCGGAGTTGTCTCCTGGTGTACATTAGTCATCATTTTAAGGTTTTTACTCATTTATCCTATGTCACATTCGGACACGGTCCCGCCGCCCTGATATCCGTTAGTTTTATGGGGTATAAGTAAGGATCCCGCCATGTGCGGTTGGAACATCATTCAAAAAAGCGGGTACATAAGGCCGACACGCACAGCCCGCTACCGGCTACGTTTATTCCTCGGACGAAGACTGGCGTTCTGACCGGACGGCTCAATGTTCGCTCGGTCGACGCTTTCGCATCGGCCAGCTCACAGTGAGCCTGGTATTCATAATTCTCAGCTGTTTGCATGCATTGAAGCTGTTAAATAATTTCCGGTCTCATGCTCCACGACTAAGTCAGTGTCAATATGAACTTATGTCCATCAAGCGGAACAGCGGCCCGGCCCGACGATATTGGCGGGGAGGTGGGTAGGTAGCATTACACAGCACGGTCCGAATAACGAACGCCGGTTTCCAGGAATTATCCCGGTGTACAAAGCAAGTAGAGAAAAGCAGCTTTTACGCAAAAACAGCTGACGAAAATGTGATCGCCGCCAAAAAAATTGATGGGACGCTATATACACTGCGTTTAAGACAAATCTAGGCTGGGTCTGCTTAGATATGTAAACCTCACCTACACAGACCTAAACACAGGGTGCAAAAACCTCTCCTTTCCCAACCCCTGCTGTGGCCTGTCAAGCGAGGTAGACATGGCTCTGAGTGTAGGTAGTCAAGCTTACGTCTGTTGAGGTTTGTTCAGGTTAGGCACCCAAGCCTACGCAGGCCCGTGTCACGCGTGCCTTGCTTCCGCGCAATTTTCACTTTACCTTTGACCTTCCTCCCGGCACGGTCCTCCAGCAAAATTTATGGCGTCCGGCCCCCGAACTAATCGCCCCTCTGTTCGTGCCATCGTCCCATGCCCTCGCAAGCCCATTGAGCGGACAACCTTTACAGAAAAGCGCGCTCTCGCAGGCGATCGAATGCCCTTGCACGAAATGTGGTCCTGGGTCGCCCAAAATCTCTCGCCACACGTCAAAAGACCATTTAAGACGTGACGAAGAAAATAAGCTCAAGAAGAAAACTCCTTCTGGGACTGTTCTCTCCGCGGGGGAGTTCATGGCGAAGAAGCGCAAAATGGCTTCGGGGGAGCCTGCTCTGCCTCTTGCGACTGTCGACGGCATGGACGTTGACGTGAACGGTCCTGAGACTGCTTCTCATACTGGAATATCTCCTCCTCCGATCCCTCACATCTCCGCAGACGTCGAAATGCTTGATGACTTTGCTCCCACGGCAAGCGGGAGTCAATTGCCCGCCCCGCTTCCGAACTCCGATTCGTTGCCATCCCGCGGCGTCTCACCCAGTTCAGATTCCGATTCCGACATTATCACTGATTCCATTTTGCCGACACCGTTGCAGCCGCGAGATGCGCTCGCACAAGAATCACCCTTCTGGTTCTGGCAGCTCATTCTCATCCTCGCTGCGTGGCTGCATCTCCATTTCCATACACCTCACAGCGCCTGTGGACTCCTCCTGAGAATACTACGGAATATCTTCGTATGCCTCGGCCACATGCAAAGTCAGGATGGCGCACCCGTTACTTTAACTACGACATTCAAGCGGCTCGGCCTCAACGAGGCTTTTGAGATTCAAGCGCTTTGTCCACAATGCCGTCGGACATATCCTGGCGACTCATCTTCTGATTTGCTATGCTCCCATTGTGCCATTCCCCTTTTTAATACACCACCTGCTCCGACCGCTCAGACAATTCCATTGTTGAGTTCCGGGAGACCTAAATCACAACCCAAGCCCACGCCGGTTCTTCAATCACCATACCTCTCGCTCTCATCTCAGATTGTCGAGTTTCTAAACCGGGACGGAAATGAAAAGGACTGCGAAGCGTATCTAAATCGTACACAAACAGCGGGAAAGCTGAAGGACATCCTCGACGGTGATATATGCCAATCGCTCAAAAGCCCAGATGGACGAAAATTCTTCGAGGTCGGTCCGGACCGTCCGGATCCTGATGAGCTCCGACTCGGTGTTGTCTTCGGGGAGGATGAGTAGGTTGCTCAACCGTCTCTACCGTTTTGTTTACGATTTCTTTCAGTTTTGGCTTTACTGCCAGCAGGACGGCAGCAACACATACAACAGGTGCTGCTTCATTCAGCGTAACAAACCTTCCTCATCATAAGCGGCGAGTCATATCCCTTTACAGCTCTTTCATCTCTGAATGGGTGCTAGGTTCCGCACCGGTAATCTCTTGTTAAACAAGCTCAGTCCCGGTCCGCACGAGGAGACCGCCGACGAATTTCAACGCTCGTTCGCTTTCACGGTGACCGATCTCCTGATGCTGTACGACGATGGAATTTTTGTGAAGACACCAAAGTACCCTAACGGTTAGATATCTTATCTTGTCTCTTCGTTCACGTCTAATCAACATGAAGGTCGCCGGGTTCGAGTTATTCTAGTGGCAATTTGCTGCGACCATCCCGCCATGTGTCGAGTTGGAGGCTTTTCAGACCACGCATCCTCCAAACACCCTTGCACTCGCTGTAAAATTACCTGTGACAAGATAAAAACTCCCGCTGGTCTCAAGGTCGACGGTGAGGCTTCTACTCCAGTATGATTTTCACGACTCAATTTGAACTCCGGTAAGCCTTCCCTCGGCGAACCACGAAAGAGCATAAACGGAATTCCGAAAAATACCGAAAGATTCCAGAGGACGATCAATCCGCCCGCAACGCGTTTGCCAGTGCCCATGGCAGCCGCTTCTTTGAGGCTTCCAGACTCACCTATTTCGATCCGATCCGCCAAATCATCATCGACCCAATGCACTGCGTGTTTCTTGGTATCACCCTTTCTTCATTTTCCGTCGTGAGCTAACTGTAATTATCCTCAGGAATATTTAAGACTCAGTGGCTCGAAGCTTGGATCCAGGAACCTGCCGCTCTTCGGAAGCGTACTGAAAAGACATCGCGTGAAATTGACCACTTTCATAATTATCTTGCCGCAGTGTGTTTTCCTTTTTCCTCCGCTTGCGCGTACTGAGCCAGAATCGTTAGTTGGAAATGCCCGAATGGGTTGCGCGCTTACCTACGCAAGTTGGCTATGCGGCCGGTGGCAGCTTGACCGCGGATGAGATGAAGGGGATGTTACTAATACTTTGCCCCCTTGTTGTGGGTTTTCAACTCGTTCCATGTACATCGTGAGCTGACGCCAACCCAGATTCCTCATATTTGGGACGAGTGGTACCCCGTCGCCGAAGCCGACTACGAAAAAACGAAGCTCTTGTGGAAAAAAAAGGAGAACGCCCGCCAAAACCGCGTAGCCAACGATACCGCAACACCGGCTGATTACGAGGGTCCCTTACCCGAACCGAAGCCCATTAGAATGCAAAAGAATGACCCGGACCTCTTATTTAAATTTGCGACCTGCATGAAAATCTTACTCGCCGGGACAATTGACGTCCAAAGTCTGCCTCGCGCGCAACAATTATTAGAGGATTATCTCTCAGGGTTTCTCGAGGTTTGACTGCATACTCGTCGGAGACGAAGCAGCTAACACCTTTCAAGAACCATCCAGAGCTTGTCAAGCCCAATTTCCATTATATAACACACATCTTTCAGATTGTCCGGGATTTTGGGCCTTTGTACGGTTTTTGGACGTTCTTGTTCGAGCGTTTGAACAAGGTCCTCAAAAGCTTCGACACCAATAACCACGGAGATGGAGAACTCGAGGTTACTTTCTTTCGCGAGTTCCACCGTGATGCAAATTTACGCGAGGTTGTGAGTACCGTTAATGCAAATACGGGCGTGTTTTATAAGTAACACGAATTGACAGGTTCGCAAGCTTGCGAAGAAGGCGGGATTCGAGGGCCTCACTGCCGAGGAGCGATGTATTGCTGATAGTGCACGCGAGATTCTTGCTACAGACGGAGAGACCCGCGGAACAGTCGCAGCGATGGCATGTGAAATTGAGGGCTTATCATCCGATCGTATGTCTTGCATCCTCGACGTTCATATTGGATGAAGCTAATTGTCCATGAAGTTGGCACCTCCTACTCTATGGGTGTGGGTGTGTTGCGCGAGCTACCGCTGAACCTGCAGCGGGACATTTTGGATTATTACAACATCACCTACCCCACAATTCCTATAGTCGACCGCGCAGCCCAGGTCCCATCGCCAACCAACCACTTCTTCCTACACGGGAAATCGGAGGTCCACAGTCATCTCATCTTGGACGGTCGTCGCATCACCAGCTCAACGTCGTTGGAAACCGCCTCCGGTGCTTTGGTACAGTTGGACGCAGGCGGAACACGCTATGTTGGTCAAATCTTTAACATTTTGACCCATCATCAGCCCGGTCTGGGAGAGCCGCAACGCCTCCTCGATGTT